GACGCCAGCCATTGGCCAGCGCGAGGCCAATGCAATGCAAGGGGCCGCCAACGCTATGTAATTCTATGCCGCGTCCGCGCCAATGCGTCGCCAGCACAATGCCAGTGGAGCGCCAGCAAGAATCCAGTGCAATGTCAGTCCACATTCAATGCGGTCCAATCCGAAAGAGCCGCTCTCCTTGTATACCTCGACGAACCCTTCTGTGGACGACTGAACGAGGCACCTTGTTGAAGAGGGTTTCAGTAGGAGCCCTGTTGTAGAAATCTTCGCTATGAGTCCCTGCATGCCAGGCTTCAAGAACAGAAAACGCGTTGATCAGCAGATTACAAGGCAACGCTTGCGTCATGCCGGCGTTTTCAGGGCAAGGCCAACGCATTGCCCAGGGGCGCCGATGAACCCGTTTTCTATATTTAGTTATTAATTAATATCTTGCCATGGCCGATTTCAGTTCAAACCTGTTGGGGGGATGCGCTAAGAGCCTCGTGGGCGTAACAACGATGCAATGCCCAATCACTCTCAAGACAATGCTTGTGTTATCCCAACGCATTGACAGCGCAAGGCCAATGCTGTGGCCAGGGACGCCAATGAGGCCCTTACTTTTATAGCGTGGTAACCGTCATTTCGTCGAGGGCCGAGCTAGACATTTCGCGATGGTGAATTTCCGTGCGAGCTTTTTTGGACAGTGCGAAAGACCCTGGGGGCGAATGGGCCCCAGCATGGGCGCGATGTCAAGGCAATTCCAAGACAATGGCGATGTGCCAGCGCTTTCCAACGCAAGCCCAGTGCAATGGCGATGGGAGCGCGGCCAATCATTTGATATACTGCGATAGGAGGGCCATGCCACAATGTCAGGGTGATGGCAGTGCTGTGACAGCGCTCTGCTAGTTCAAGGCCCATCGCAAAGCCGCGGGCGCCAAGGCTATGCTGCCTTCGCGCGGAAAATCCCGATGCACATCATTTTGTTGAGAGCCTCTCATCATAATATCGAAGACGCCTACGGCGAATCACCGCCGCCCCCTGCCTTTTTGGAAACGCCGATGTGGCCGAAAGTTGGACTAGAGCTTGGCCAAGCTATCGGACCATGAGTTCCCCGAGTCGGTTTGGAAAGCTTTCGGGGAACACATGGGAGAGAATGATTATGAACAGGAAGAGGAAGAGGAAGAAATAGAGTAGGAGGATGAGGGTTGTTAGGAGTCTCTTGGGGCACCCTTGGGGTCTGTTGGGGGCTTCTTGGGGGCCTCTTCGAGGCCTCTTGGAGGCATCTTGGGGGCCTCCTTGGGCCTCTTGGGGGCCTTTGGGGGCTTCCTGGGGGTCTCTTTGGCCGTCTTAGGGCGTTCCTGGTCCGTCTGACGCCGTCTGGAGCCGTCTTGGGGGCCTCTCTGGGCCGTCTTGGGGCCCTCTTGGGGCGCTTCAGGGCCGTCTTGGAGGCCATGTTGGGCGTCTTGGAGGCCTCTTGGGCCGTCTTGGGGCGCTCTTGGGGCCGTCTTGGGGGGCCCTTGGGCCGTCATAGGGCCTTCTTGGAGGCCTCTTGGGCGATCTTGGGGGCCTCTTGGGCCGTCGGAAGGCCGAAAAGAAGAAAACGCAAAAAAACCTTCAAAAACCTAAGGAAAACCAATGATTTTGGCCTCTTCGGGCTCTCCTGGAGAACGTCTTGGAGGCCTCTTGGGCCATCTTGGAGGCATCTTGGGGCCATCTTGGCCGTCTTGGAGGGCATCTTGGGCCGTCTTGGAGGCATCTTGGAGCCATCTTACCCGTCTTGGAGGCCATCTTGGCCGTCTGGGAGGCATCTTGGAGGCCATCTTGGGCCATCTTGGCCGTCTTGGAGGCCATCTTGGGCCAAGTTGGGGCAACAAAGGCATTGACAGACGGATTTTAGGAAAATTACGGGTGGCCGGCGGGACGGGCCGAAGCCCACTGGGGAGTTCTTTGAGAAAAAGAACCAAAACCAAAACCTGAATCGTCCAGCACGCCGTGCACCCCTGCAAGCAGGGGGCGGCGGATCTAATGGCCTTCGGCCTATCCCGCCACCGTGCCAACGTGGTGGGCCTGATGCCTCATGGATGTTGGTTGGGATCTCGTGGTTCGCCTCTTTGGGACATCTGGGAGGCAGTTTTGAAGCCTTTGGAGGCCTCTTGGGGGCAGTTTTGGGGCTTCTTGGGGCTTCCTGGGGGCCCATTAAGGCCTCTCGGGGCTCGTGGGGGGCCTCGTGGGGGGCCTCGTGGGGGGCCTCTTGGGGCCTCTTTGGGGCCTCTGGGGGGGCTCTTGGGGGCCTCCTGGGGCTTCTTGGGGGCCTCTTGGGGGCCTCTTGGGGCTGCTTGGGGCCCTTTTGGGGCCTCTTGGGGGCTCCTTGGGGCTTCTTGGGCGCTTCTTGGGTTCCACTGGGTGCGGGAGGGCGGGTACTCGAGGTCGGGACCCCCTTCGGAGACCACGATCCCTGTGAGGGGTGTCAAAAAATAGCCTCCCCAAAGCCACGGCGTCCATTCCAGGACGGCCCAGGCCGGCCCAGGCCGGCCCGGGCCGGGCCAGGAATCTGGGGGTCCGGGCCCTTAAGAAACTATTTTGCAAGCTGCAAGCTTGAGACGCTACTCTGCAAGCTGCTGCAGCAGCATCACAGCTGCAGCAGCAGCACAGCTATGAGCCTTGGGGCACTCCACTTCGTGCCAGAGGCACGGTGGCGGATTTGCTTGCAGAGGAATTCAGCTGAAATGCAATGCACATGAATGCCATTGCTTCTCCAGCCACCATTTGCCCGCGGCGGGCCCGCACAATGCCAATGGCCACCAACGTTGTACAATTCCACGTCGTGTTCGTACCATCGCGTAGCCAGCCCAATGCCAGCGCAATGCCAGCGCGCCCCCAGCGCAATGTCGCCACGATGAAATGCGACCCAGCCCGGAAGAAATGAACGCGTTCCTTGTATATAGTAAGAGAAATTTTGCAATGGACGGGCGAAGTAAAAATCCTGCTGTGGAGAGTTTCAGAAAGACTTTTCTTTCGGGCGAGCGAACTTATCAAGAATTCTTCGGCTGGGTCCCGCTAGGAAAACACGGCTAATTAACGCCCAATGCAAAGTTCGCGACGTGCCAGCGCGTTGCCACCGCGAGGCCAAGACAATGCCAAAGGCAACCAATTAATATATGATCCATGCTTCATTAAGAATGGCATCGAAAGGAACGCCAAGTCATTTTCAAACCAATGCTTGCGTTATGCCATTGCCTGGGGCCAACGCAAGGCCACAGCAATGCCAAGGTGCGCCAAAGAAGTCTTGCCGTTCTGGCTTCCCAGATCCTCATGTGGACAATTGAATTAGGCACCCTGCGCAACGATAGTTTCAGCAGGACTCCCCATGAGGAGCACTTCAATACCAGTCCCGTATAAAGGGCACCAAGGGAGATGCAGCGCCAAGCCGATTTCAAGGCAACGCCAGTGTGCGACGCCAGCGCTTTGCCAACGCAAGGCCGATGCAGTGCCCAGGGGCGACGTCGAACCCCTTCTCCTTCATTGTAGTGCTTCTCATTCTGTGCGCGTGTGTGCATGCGTGTGCGTGTGCGTGCGTGCGTGTGTGTGTGTGTGTGTGTGTGTGTGTGTGTGCGCGCGTGTGTGTGTGTGTGGGGGGGGGGGGGGCGGGCTGAAGTAAGAATCCTGCAATTGCGGGTTGCGGGCCGATCCCAGTCGGGAATGCAGAAGACATGCTTCTATGGTGGGCCTCAACTTCGGAGCAATGCCCAACCAATTCCAAGGCAATGCCGTTCGGAGTCGTTTTGTGGTGTGTGTGTGTGTGTGCGTGTGCGTGTGCGTGTGCGCGTGCGTGTGCGTGTGCGTGTGCGTGTGCGTGTGCGTGTGTGTGTGTGTGTGTGCGTGCGTGCGTGCGTGCGCGTGCGTGCGTGCGTGCGTGCCGTGCGTGCGTGCGTGCGCGCGTGCGGGGGTGGGGCGTGGGTCGGGGGGGGGGGTGGGGGGAGGTCGGGGGGGGGGGGGGGCGGGGAAGGGGTTTGGCCCTAGCTACGACTCTGGTTCAGGATCTCATCTGAATTTTTCTTGCGTGGGGCGGTCGCTAGGAATCTTCATTGTTGCGGGTTTCATCAGATTCCCCCCGATCCAAAGTGGGTTGCTAGCGCAATGCCAGCGCAAGGCGACGAATTGCCAATGCATCGCAGCGCAATGCCACTGCACGCTAGCCCAATGCTAAACAACGCCGATGTCATGCAAAGCCGAGCCTCGGGGCAGATCGCGCCTCCTGCGCCGACGCCAGAAATACGCAAACATCACGCCACCGCCCATCCCCACCCTTGAGAAACGCGCGCGCCTGTCAAGCAACAAACACGTGCGCGGCGTCGAGGCGAGAATGCCTCTTTTTGAAAGAGTGAGCGCGGCGCCGGGGCGAGAGTGCAATTTTTGAGAAATGAGGTGCTCCAAACCGCCACTTGACAATCCCCCGCCCTCGGAGAAAGAGGGTACACATTCGAAGTACGCGCGTCTGAATACAATAGCGCGACGGACGTCGCAGTTGGGAATGGAGGAGCAGGGCGGCAGCAAACATCAACATATTCGTGCACAGCAATAAGAGAGATGACGCCGATAGAAAGCAAAGGCCCAGGCAACATGCATTGCTTAATTTATATACGAAAGCCCAAAACCACAAGTATGTTGAAGCAGGCGACGCAACACGCGAAATGAACAGTATGGCAGATGGCATGTTCTATCAATTCTTTTAGTTTTGTGTGAATGATACTTCATGCCGACATTTCGCTATGCCGACGGGGTACCTTCCGAAAAAATCACTTGGGACGTTTCCCTCCTGTTGGTGGGGAGCACCAAGCTTCCCCGACATCGTCATTGAGGAAAGCTGTGCGGCGGATGTGCCCCGAGACGGGCTCGCCTCTGACAGCGTCGAATCAGGGGGCCGATCCCGACGCCTCGAGCGACGTGGCGTCGACGCCATGGCCGCCAGCGGGCGAGCGTTCGCGCGCACCTGGGCGCTCGCGCTCGCCGCGGCGCCTGAGGCGCAGCAATGCTGAGCTGGCGGACGCCGTGGAGTCCGACCAGGTCGACGACCTTGGGGGAGGGCTCGGAAGCATGGTGGAGCAGCACTTGCCGGACCCGCATGCAGACGCTGCTTCCCAGCGCGGCGCCCGCCCGAACGCCCGCCGCAGCACCCAGCCTGTCACGAGCACCGACGTCGACTCCACCGACGCCCTCTCGAACCATGATGGCGGCACGCCCGACGCCGCCCGCAGCTCCCAGGAGGGCGAGCCTGACGATTACTTGTACTCAGCGCTCGCCGCCTGGCACTCTGGCGAGCCCCCCGCCCTCGCCGATCCTGCCCATCCTCGACCCTGCTGACGCTCCTGACGAAGATTCCAGCTCCGATTCCACAGATGTCTGGGCAAACCCACTGATGCACCTCGACCACCCTGAGGTCCAGCAGGCCGTGGAGCAAGCTCGTCGCGACATCGCCGCCAGGAGCCCCCTTCTCGACGCCCAAGCCGACGCCTGGCCCGTCGCCGAGTCCGAGACGGAGGGCGGCGTGGCCAGCGACGCAGAGATCGAGGAGGAAGAAGAGGAGGGCGCTAACGCCGACGCCGAGACGGATGATGGAGAGGAGGGCGCTGCCGACGAGGCCTGAGCAGTGGATCGACACGGCGTCAGCATGGCTGTCGGCAGGGGATCGGGTGCCGGGGTGATGCGGGGAAGGGAATGGCGGACGACGGCTGCGGGATATATGGTTTGCTTTGGTGCTCGACTACACTGCGCAGAGTCGCGCGTCTGCCTCTCCTACGACAAAGCGCGTTCCTCCTTCTCTATCCCACACGGCACGTACTTTTCATTTCTCGCCCTCCTCTCTGCCTTGCCAACCCCCTCCCTTTCTCTCCTGGTTTCCGACTCATCCGCGCTTCTTCCGCGGCGCTCCGATCTGGGTGCGATGGGAAGCCGATTGTTGCGACAAGCGCGTGGCAAATTGAAGTGGACGATTGGCGTGGGCGTGAGGCCCTCGCTTTTTCACATGGCTTCGCGCCCTTAGGGGGCCGCAAGGAAGGCCACCGCAGATTGCCGATGGCGTGAAGCCTGGTGAAAACACGAGGGCATCACCACACGTGAAGCTTCGCATTGGTTGAGCATCAGCCTCACCCTCGGGAAGGTTTGTGAGCGCTCGGATGCGTTGGGCGGACGTGGGAGGACGTGGGGGGATGTGACAGGAGATGCGATGATGTGAGAAGGCTTGGGTGTATTTAGAATGTTTCGTGCATAGCTGGCTCCCATTTCTCATCTGTGCCCTTTCCACCCCGTGCTCCATCCTTCCACGGCGCCTCCTCTCCTCTGCCTCAGCCGTTGTAGCTTGCGGGGCCAGGCGCGGAAAGGTAGCGGCGAAACGTTGGGGACAGATCGGGGCCGAAGCAGTTGGAAGGGTGGAAGGAGATGAGGAGAGGCCGCAGGGCGAAGAGGATGCTGGCCCCGCTGGCAGAGCACAGCCAAAGCACAGTGCCCATAGAGATTTGCACTAACATTGCCGCTTGGCAGATACCAGGGATACACTCATTGCACCCGCAACCCGCCGCATCGTTCGACGGCGACACGTGTTCCCGATGCATTGGCGATGCGGCGCTGTGGCGAGCGGCGGAGGTCGCAAGTAGATCGCTCCACGGAAAATGACGCCGACGCATTGGCGATGCGTTGGCCCGCGCGCCGCTTTTATGCTGTCGCTGCTGCTGCCGCTGCCGCTGCTGCTGCTCCGCGCTGCCATGTCGACTCAGAGAGCACCCTCGCGAACTCTGCGCGCCTCACCGCGACCCCGCACCACGCACAACTTGCCGCCATGCCAGTCTCCTTGACATCCTCCCTGGTGGGCATGCATCTGAGCCCCAACGCCGACCGCGCCTTGGCCGCGCGCGAGACGAACGACCGCGCTTGGCGGGCCCTTCGCGCGGGCGACCAGTGGGGCGGCTTTGTCTACTCGGACAGAACCACGCCCGTGTACAGGGGGCGTGGAGTCTTACATTGTTGCCAGGCACTTGGATCCCTACGAGGTCGTGCAGGTGTTGCGCCAGAACGTCGTGGTCGACGGCGTCCGCGTGTTCCGCCTCCGCGCAGGCTCGGGGAACCCATAGATGTAGGTTCGGTTCTTCCGACGGCCTGCCCGCGCCACCCACCAATTGCTTATGCCCGAGGCCCGCGTGGGCCGACGCTTGGTCGACCGAGGCCTTCTCGAGGCCTTTTGATGCCACGGTGCCACCCAGCGGTATTTCATTGTTCGAAGTTCTTCCCTGGATAAGCAATCAGGCCCCCCTCCCGCATGGAGCGAGAAACCACATGGGCAGCGTGGGTGAACGCGGTCTGGTTCTCGAAACGATAGGGCGCCGAGAGAGGTAAAACCGACGCGACAGAAACCCATCTGAACGAAGTCTTACAGGCCAGGGACACCACGCGGTTGCATTGCACTTTTTTTTTTTTTTTTTTTTTTTTTTTTTTTTTTTTTTTTTTTTTTTTTTTTTTTTTTTCTCTGTTGTGCCGACGCACAGGGGCCAAGACACATATTGCTCCGATCTGGCGAGCAGGCATTGGTTCTCGAAGCGTTGGGGTGCACGGTCGAGGCCCACTGAGCTGATGACCTTTAATATTCGCGACCAGCTTTCCCCCCCCCGGAACAATAGCCGTGGGCCGAGAAACCTTCGGGTCGATATGCGGAGCGCACACCTGTCTTCGAGACACCACCCGTCGTCTACAGTTCATGTCCTCACATCCGTTAAGGTGGGGCCGTGGTGGCCAGCGACGTCCGCCCGACGCAGGTGGCCACCCGCAAGACGAAGCGCACGTTCATCAAGTGCGCGGCCGCCTGCACGCCCATTACGCGCACGCGTGCGCTGGCTCCGTTATCAACGTGGCCAGGCGCGGCGACGTGTTGATGACCGGCGGCGCGGTCACCAGCGTTGCGGGGTGGCGAATGTGCAGCCTCGCCGACGGCGGGGCTGTCGAAACAGACGGCTTCGAGCACGTGCCGCTGCACCAGTTGTGGCCGAGCGGGCCGCCCCCCGCGCCGTCGCCCGCGCCCTACCAGATCTTCGTGCAGTTGCTGACTGGGGGGGCGGTAGCGCTGGACGCTGTGCCGACCGATGCCATCTGCAGCTTCAAGCAGCAGATCCACGCGATCGAGGAAGGGCTCGCGAACACCGCCGCCGCGGGCGGCATAGGCGGAATCGCTCGTCCAGCCGCGCTTTCGCTGACCGAGCTGGGGCTGCTCCCAGCTCAGCGCCCTCTTGGGCCCAGCTCTGCCAGCGAGGGCAAAGGGTGTGGCAAGCGATTCTGAACCCCACGTCGGCCCTGATGTACGCGTCGGCTTTCGGTGCCCTGTGGAGGGCATCCCAGCAGACCAGCAGCGCCTCATCTACCAAGGGAAGCAGCTGATGAACGATGCCACGCTCGCAGACTGCAGCGTCCTGGCGGGCTCCACGCTGTGCGTCGTGGGAGCCCTGCGCGGAGGCGGGAAGAAGGCCGCCGTCCCGACTCCACCCTTCGACGCTTCCAGCGAGCCGCCTTTCGATTGCATCTTCCCCGACTGCTGCACCGCGCGGTCCACCTCCCTCGGCTTGATGAAGCACATTCACACAGACCACAAAGGAGTTCTTCAAACCAGCTTCGAAGGAACATTCTTCTTGGATGAAGTGCGACGGCAGCAGAAGGCGGCGAACATTGCTCATAGGTCCAGTGGTGACGCCGCCGCTGCGGCCGCAGGCGCCGATGACGCGCCGCGCGCCAGCGCGCCATCCTCGTCCGCCGCTGCGAGCGCCTCTGCTGCTCCACCGCCGCCAGCGCAAGGCGCACCGCGCCCTCCTTTCTCCGAGTCCGACGCTCCGCCGTTCCAGTGTTTTTACTTTGGCTGCACCGCCCTGCGAGACTCCTTCCTGTACCTCATGAAGCACCGGCAGAAGGATCACCATGCGAGCGTGTCGGGCTTTGAGGGAACGTTCTTCTGCGCTCAGCACAGGCTGCAGAAGAACGCAGAGAACGCTTCGAGGAGGGGCGTGCCGAAGAAAGCGGCGTCCGCGTCGCGCGCTGCGAACGCGGCTGCCTCAGCGCCAGCCGACGCGGGCGCGGATGCCGACGCGGAGGCGACTCCGCCCCCGCCCCCGCCGCCCTTCGACGAGAACAGCAAGCCGCCGTGCCCGTGCTGGCTCCCCGACTGCGTCTGTCAACGCAACACGTACGAGGGCTTCATGGACCACCTCCGCGACAACCACGGCATGGTCACGTCTGATTTCAACGGGACCTCCTTCGGCACGGCAGCGAGGGCGGAGAGATCGCAGGAGAACCGCAAGCGAAGGGTTGCGGCCGCTGCGAAGAGCTCCAGCTCTGCTTTGCAGCAGGCGGCCGAGCCCCAGGCCGCAGACGCACCGCCGACGCCAGCTGCCCCACGACAGATCTTCACCAAAATCATAGAACCGATCTGGGCCAACGACCAGGCCGACGGCACGAAGACCATGGAGTCCACGAGTGGCAAGGGCTTGTTCAATCGGATTCGGCCGAATGACTTGGTCATCCTCGTCGAGCAAGGCAGCGGCACTACGGTGAGCGCCATGATCGAGGCCGAGTCGCTTGCTGTACGTGACGTAACAGATCGCGAGGTTCTGCGGCCCATGGCGTTGCCCGCTCGCTGGGGCCAGCTCGAGAATTACCTGGACAGGTGCAAGAGAACGCCGAGGACGTTCGACTACATCCAGGAGGGCCGCGCCTGGGACCACCGCGGCCTGCGCACTACAGCGGCCGACCTCGTGCGCCCCATCGGCGCAGGGGAACTGAAGGGCGGTTGGGCCCAGGGGCTCGAGCTCATCTCCAGCGACGCCAGCGTCTACGAGCGCCTCATGGAATGCATCCAGCGCTGCACGTGCCACGACCACCAGACAGGGCCTCGCCCCGCTGGCGCGCCTGCCGCGCCTTCCCGCGCGAGCGCGGCGCCGCCGCCCGCCCCAGCTCCAGCAGCAGCGGCGCTGCCGTCCGCAGCCTCTGGCGCGGCGCCGCGCGTCCACACCCCCACCCCCCCCCCCCCCCCCCCCCCCCCCCCTCCCCCCCCCCCCCCCCCCCCCCACCCCCCCCCCCCCCCCCCCCAGCCACTGCGAGCGGGCGCGCCCCCTGCGCCGCCGCCCTCGTCAGCAGCAGCATCACCTTCGGCCCGCGACGCCCGCCAGACGTCGATGTTGAGCTTTGCCGCGGCACCGCCGTCCACTGATGCAGCTGCGGAGGTTCGCTCTGCCGCGCCACGCGGAAGCGGCGGCAGCAGCGGCCAGGGCATCGCTTGAATCGCCCGCTCGAGCGGGAAAGCTGCCAGCAGCGGCGGCCCAACCGCGGCGCCCGAGCCCCGCGGTGCAGCGCCTCCGCGCGACCATGACGCGAGCGCAGAAGGCGATGTCTTACAAGCTACTGTCCTCGCTCGAGAAACGAGCGTCTGAGATGTTGGAGAGCGGCAACATTCCTGATGACTTTCCCATGATTATGAAGCGCGCGCAGGACCTTCGCAGCCAGCTTGCGCTCGAGGTGAAGCGCGCCCCAGCAGACTCTGCCGCAGCGCCCCAGCAGCCGCCGCAGAGCGCGCAGCAGCAGGACGTCCCACTCCAGGAAATACGGAAGGTCGCGAGAGGCGGCGAATCTGCCCCTGTGCCCAGGGTTCAGGTTGCAAAGCGCGCCCTGGAGTTCGATGGCAAGAGACAAAGTCGCACTCCGTGGCCGTGGAGAGCAGAGGCCCGCCACGTCACCATCGATGGCTTCCGCGAGCACATCCTCGCGAAAAACGTCTCGGATGATTCGTTCAAAGAGAGCCACGCCATGGGCATGGACTACTTGTTCTTCCTCCTCGGCATCGGCACGACGAACTATTACCCCATCGGCGTGGTTCAGGCGCTCCACGACCAGAAGATTCTCGAGCAGCTCACCAGGCTGCACATCATGAATCCGATTTTCTCCTGGACGAGGAAGATGATGAACGCCCTGAAGCACGCCATCAGCTTCATGCTCCACGAGTGCGATCGGAACGAGTGGGGCCCGACGAGCAGAGCTTTGAACCTCAGGCGCGCGGGCGCCACTCCGCTGAGCGGCTCGCTGCCGACCCCGTGACCCCAGAGAGCCATGCGGTAGCGAGTGCGACCCGCATCTGATTTTACATGTTGTGGAAGGTCGGGTTGTGAGATGTTGCTGATGTCATGGGCGTGGCGATGTTGTGTTTGTGTGCGGTGGCGGCGTCGTCGTTGGTGTGGTTGTCGTCATTGTTGCCTGGCGGTGTTGTTGACGTGACGCGCGGGGTCGCGGAGTCACGCAGCTGTCAAAATAGCAGAGGGGGGCTCCTCGTTTCCAAGGTGGCTGACGAATGTGAGGATGGCGACGACAGCGACGGCGAGTCCATGTCCGATATCGACGGCAAGGGCGATGCCGCAGATGGGCGCGACGCGGGCAGGGGGCGGCGCGCTGCGTCCGCGCCCGCCCGCGCAGCAGCAAGCAACACCACAGCGGCGCAGCGCGCGCTCGCGAGCCCTGCTGCAGCGCAGCGCACGCCAGCGGCGGCAGCAGCGCCCGCGACCTCCCGCCCAGCAGGCGCAGCCACTGCGGCGCAACAAGCGCCCGCGAAGCCTGCTGCAGCGCAGCGCGCGCCAGCGGCGGCAGCGGCGCCCGCGACGCCCCGCCCAGCAGGCAGCGCGCCCGCGGCGCAGCGCGCGCCCGCGATGCACCCTGTAACGCCGCGCGCGCCAGCGGCGGCACAGAAGGCGCGTGGCACGACGCCGCCACCTCACCAGCGGCTGAGCGGGCAGAGGGCGTCCTTGCAGTAGTTTCGGAGGAAGACGCTTCCACCGCGGAGCACCGTCAACACTCGCGAGGCTGAACCCGCGCCGCGGGCGGCAGTTGGCGGCAGCGCTGGCGCGCGCAGGCTCGCGCGCCAGGACACCGACGACGGCGCCGCCAGCCCGAACCTCCTCGGGGCGACGGGCATCAGCTCCTGCGCAGCATCGCCCAGCAGGCTCGCAGAAACAGGTCGGTGCGGAGCGCTCCTGGGCGGCGCCAGGCCAGACACCATCGCAGAGGACCCCCTGGCGAAAGCGCGCGGCAGCGCTGGCCCAGGGGCCGCGGCAGAGGAACATTTTGTACCTTCTGACAGTGGCGATGGCGATGCCCCGCGCTACATCGAGCGCTTCCCCGCGCCAGCGCCTCCGCGCTGCCCAGGAACGAATCGGCCCCCATCCTTGAGAGAGGCCGGGCGCAAACTCGGACAACTACTCGACGAGGCGGACGGGATACCTCCCATCGGCGCGAACAAGCGCGGACGGGGCGAGCCCGAGGACGACGCCCGAAAGAGACAGAGGGCCGCCGATGTCTCCGAGGGCGTGCCTGCGAGCGCAGGCGAGCAGAAGCCGTTTACGGTGTGCAGGGAGGACCAGGAGGTGCTTTGGAAGTATACCGCGGGCCAGCGCAATGGCAAGTACGGCTCCCTTCTCGACTGTGAGATGATATACCTTGTCAGCGAGTACCGAGCGATATATGGCTACGACACTACCATGTATCCCGAGAAACCCGTGCAATTGATGATCATGTCCAAGGGCAAGTCGGAAGAGGTTATTGTCTTCAGGGAGGAATCGGGCGATGGGGTCTGTATTTGCCAATTCCCCCTGGCAAGGCCGATCCCGAGCCCAGAGGCTGCGCGCGTGCCGCCCTGTCGAGAGCGAGAGATCGCGCGCCGCCCCCGTGCGCGGGATCGGCTTTGCAAGGTTCAGCAGCTGTGCATTGACCCCGTCGCCCTGAGGATATCGTCGAGGATCAGGTGAAGAACTTCTACCGCCAGTTCCTGAAACTTGCCGAGGGGAGCACCGACTGAGTGCTGTGGCTCTCGTGCGGCGATGGCCTTTTGCACGGATATCTGTCCCGACGTCGGGCGACTTTCTGCAACGTGAGTTTATCCGCTGGCCCAAGAAAGCAAGCCCGCTCAGTATCTCAGGGGTTCGGGGGAGGTGGAAGAGGGGAGGGTGGAGCAAGGCCAAGCGACGAATGCGATGTCGGATGTAGGTCCAGACGCTTCGCGCGCAGCTTGCGATGATCACCAACAAACGGTGCCCACGGTAATTGTGATTCTGTGCCCAGCGCCCTTTGCGGC